GGGGCGCGGGGCGCGGGGCGCGGGGCCGAGCCCACCAGGCCCGAGTTGGGCGCGCGACCCAGGCCGCAAGAGCGCTTGCAGCCGGCTGTGCGGGTGCAGTGGTCTTCCCTGGACCAAAGGATCCAAAGACCAAAATACACACAGCGCTCTTCCCATCTTTCTATCAAACAAACAAATATATATTCCAACCAGGTTTTGAGCTAGCGGTGTGGGAATTACACGACCTTCAAGGGTCGTTTGTGAACTGAGGGAATGGAGGCTGCAGGTAATGCAGGTGCCCGAAATCACTACAAATGGTGTCCTGGTGACAAAGTGGGTAAAGCAACTGGCTGCTAACCAAAAGGTAGGTGGTTTGAACCCACCAGCCGCTCTAAGGGAGAAGGCAGTCTGCTTCTGTAAAGATTTACAGCCTGTAGGAAACCCTGTGGGGTTGCTATAGTTGGAATGAACTCAGTGGCAGTGGGTTTTTGGTTTTGGTAGGATTGTGTAGACCATTTTAGCAGTGAGCCCCATCTAATTCAAGTCCCATGCCAGCAATCCCATAATTCTGATGTAACTGGTCTTGGGGGGCAGCCTGGGCAAACAGGTAATTCTAGTGCATCCGGGACTGAGAAGCACTGGTCTTGGGAGTTTTTAAAAATCTCCATGCTCAAAAGCTCTGGGAGTGGGGCCTGGCATCAGGATTTTTACCAGCACACACCTTCCTCACCCACAAAGGTAATTCTAGCATACAGCTTTGATTGAGAACTGCTACTCTGGTTGTTGGCTGTTAGGCGCTGTCAAGGTGCGACCCTATGTTCGTGAGCCAAGTCCTGCATCATCCTCACAATTGCTGCTATGTTTGAGCCCATTGCTGCAGCCACTGTGTCAATCCATCTCGTCGAAGGTCTACCTGTTTTTCACTGACACTGTACCTTACCAAGCATGATGTCCTTTTTCAGGCACTGGTCCCTCCTGACAACATGTCCGAAGTATATGAGACAAAGTCTTGCCATCCTTGCTTATAAGGAGCTTTCTGGCTGTACTTCTTCCAAGACAGATTTCTTTGTTCTTCTGGCAGTCCATGGTGTAGTCAATATTCTTTGCCAACACTAGAATTCAAAGGCATCAACTCTTCTTCTGTCTTCCTTATTCATTGTCCAGCTTTTGTATGCATATGAAGCGATTGAAAACACCATGGCTTGGATCAGGCGCACTTTAGTCCTTAAAGTGACATCTTTGCTTTTTAAAGATCCTAAAAATCTGCAGCCAGACTGTAGCAGTCCTTGCCCTCAAGAGCTGTTTATATGAATGTCGTTGCTGGGGGACACTGAAGGAGGGACTCCCTCCAAGCCTCAGTTTCCTTATTGATAAATTGTTTGGTTGTTGTATTAAATGAGCTAATACATGGTAAAGCAGGGTAAAGCATAGTAGGAGCTCTTTAATACCAACCATGGGCCCCTGGGTGGCACAAACAGTTAAGTGCTCAGCTACTAACTGAAAAGTTGATGGCTCAAGTCTACCCAGAGGTGCCTCAGAAGAAAGCCCTGGCAATCTACTTCCAAAAAGTCAGCTGTTGAAAATCCTATGGAACAGAGTTTTACTCTGACATACGCGGGGTCGCCATGAGTCAGAATCGACTCAACAGCAGCTGGTTTAATACCAACCATTACTGTGGCTGCAGACTGTTTAATGTTGCCTCATAAGAATTTCTTACTTTAGGTAGAAAACATATTTGAGAAACACTTCTGGAAGTAGGGCAGAGATTCATTCAATAAACAGCACTGACCACCTCCCACCATGAAGGCATGTGATGGCCCTAAGCATTGATAATCTGCTTACTCACACATTCAAATGGGATATGTGAGTGACATATATCCATGTATATACACTCACTCCTCACTGATTGACATGGTTAGTTTCCAAAAACCAGGTCATTATGTGAAAATCAGCATTATGTGAAAATGGAAGGTGACCGCATCAAATCACAAAATGGAAGATGACAACATCATTACATAACTGCCAAATTACATCATTACATAACTGCCAACCCACTGAGAATCATGGCCCAGCCAAGGTGACACATAACCTTAACCATCGCAGCCATCGGGACTGTCAGACATATGTTGCTAATGTGCAAAATAGTTGGATGGTAGATTTTTTTACTATTCTGGTAAATGTGAAATGTTGGATAACGAGATAGTTGGTAAGTGAGGAGTAGGTGTATGTATATGTGCATGTATGTCTTAGCTATCCACGATGTACCTTCTTTTTAAATGTAACTATAGTATTAGCGATTAAGTGCAAAAGTGGTGTATGCCATTTTAAGGGAATGAGATAAACTGGATTATAAAATTTTTAATGGATGCAGGGTACTAAAATTTTTACTTAGGGCATAACTCTGTATATAAATGCTATACAGTTACAAAATAACTTGATTGATTTCATTGCAATTGTCAACTTATCCACGTTCCCTCATTTTTGTGCATCATCTGGGACTGGAGTTTCCGCTGGCTGTTTACCAGGACGTGTGCAAGAGCATCCATTCCCTTGTGTTTTTATCATGACCAACAGCATTGCTTGTCCTCCTGGCTGGAGTTGCTGGATCAGCAGACATGGATGTACAAGATTGTTCTCTCAAAATGGATCAGAGAACTTTTATCTATTAATATGACCGGTCCTTGCCCAGTAACTGCTCATGTTGGTTCCAGTTACATATTGGGTGAATGTAGTAAGAGTTAGACTCGACAGCCCACCCCCACCTCTTGTGTATTAGAAAGAGATAGTATATTCCCAAGAGAACTGCCGAGATACGGAGTTTCAATTACATGGGAGGGGACCATAGGAGACAGCTGTCAAAGAAGGTGTTGAAGTGGTAGGGGCCTCATAGCTTAAACAACCTTGCAGCTGGGCACCTTCATGACCTGTGTGACCTTTACTTCTGTCAGGCACATTCTCATGCACTGAACTGGTATCAGTTTCATTTAGAACCCTGCCAGTTGCCTTGCACTGTGGTGCTCGCTTTTCCTTGTGTCCTGTCTGCTTGGCATCTATGGGTCTTTGCTTTGGACAACTGGTGCCCTAAGCATGTGCTTACCTTGCCTATTGGCAGGGGCGGATTAACCAGTAAGCATGGTACACATCGGCTTATGTTAAGTAAGGTATGCACAGTTTACTTGTGTTTACTTACTAATCTGTATTGAACAGATGTGGTGAAAAACGGGCGAAATTGTTCACTACAGATTAGTAAGTAAACACAAGTAAGTCTGTAGGTGCCTTGCTTATTGAGTAGCCCGGCCCTGCTTATTGGGTAATCTGTCCGTGTGTCCCATGTAGCATCACCAGAATGTGGTTGTTGAGGCTCCAGAGAGGTTGTTGAGCTGCCTGCAGCGGGAAACCAATGTCCAGGGTAATGTTCTGAGGGCAGTTTGGGGGAGTCATCATAGGACATTCATTGAGGAGCTGTTAGAGAGGCCTGAGGTTTGACCAGGTCCTGGAGCTGACCCAGCATGGTATCTGGTTCTTCTCTGGAGAGCCGCACTAGGGATCACAGTAGCTCAGCCTCAGTGTGGTCCTGAAGCTTCAGGAGTTACCTGGGGGAGAGGATAGCCAGGTGAGTGGAAAGACCATGTGGTCAGGGCCTCTGTTTACCCTATTTGTCTCCTCAGCTGAATTTCTCAGTTCAGGGCTGGCCGCTTTAGAAAGCCACCCAGGAGGGACAGTTGACCCTATTTCATCCCTTCTCGGGCCAGGAGCCAAGGGGAACCAAACCTTGAGAGAATCCCCAGGGAGAAAACCCCTGCAAGGATGGGAGGCCACCCATGGAGTAATGAGCAGGTTGGCAGCAGTTGGCTTCCAGCAGTGCCAGGAGCCACTGTTGAATAGGTAAAGCTGAATGGTAACTCTGACTGAGAACTAGCAGGGAGAGAGAGGAAAGGAGAAACCATGAGATGAAGTGCTATGGCCAGGACTTCCCAAGTCAGCCCTCTTGAGTTCAGCCCTCCTTCTCTGGTTCTCTAGAAGTGGTAGGTCCCTCAGGACTCAGCAGGGAGCATTGCTTTGCCTGAGCTGCTCAAATCCTGGGCCTCTTGCAGTGGGGTGGGTGGGCCCTTCTCAGTGATCTGTGGAAGCTGAGGATGTGACTCCTTACCATCCCTCAAGCTGGTTCTGCAGCAGCTACTGACCACCAGGAAACTTCCCAAGATACCACTCATTTCCACAGAGACCAGAAATAACCAAAGGAAGAAACTACTGCTGTTTAGGGCAGACCTGAGGTCCTACTGTGTCATGGCTGGTTATGTAATATTTGCATATTTATTGAGCACCAACCGTGTACCAGGCACTGGGACAGGCCTTGGAAATGCAATGGTAAACTATGACCCTCTGGTTGACCAGTGGCCTCTTCACCTGTTTATTGTATCAAATGTTGTTAGCGTTGTTAGGTGCTGTTGAGTCATTTCCAACTCATGGTGACCCTACATACAACAGAATGAAACACTGCCCAGTCCTACGCAATCCTCCCAGTCATTGTTATGCTTGAGCCCATTTTGCAGCCACTGTGTCGGTCCATCTCATTGAGGGTCTCCCCCTTAGACGCTGTGAAATGCGAACGTTATCTCACCTTGACCCAGAGCTGTGGAGGCCTGTTGGTTAGAGAACTATAGAAATGAGGCCACCCGGTCAGTTCACCAAAGGGCCCTTCACCAAAGGGCCAGTTAATTTCATCTATGACAAGTGACATCTGGTGCCCCAAGTTTGATTAAGCCATTTTATAGATGCAGACTCTGAGTAAGCACATGCTCATGCAATGACACTCT